GAAACCCAAGGAGGGGTCGCTATGAGTCGGGGCCGACTCGACAGCAAAAAACAACAACAACAACAACAAATCATCATTAAGTGCAAAATCAAGTTTAAAAGCACTATGCATAGTTCTATAAAAGGGACTTTCACTTTCTATTTATTTAATTCCATGAAATTTCATTAACTGTAATAAGTATTTATTACTTTTAAGATTAAAAAACAGCAAATACATAGTTTAAAAATAAAATGAGGTTTAACTTTTACAAAATAATTATTTAAAAGTAAACTAGATTTTCAGAGAACTAGAAACTGGCCAGGCTAGACAAATTGATGATAGGCTCAAAAGAATCATAATAATTCTGTTTACTTTACAACATTTATAAATGTATTATTACCTCCAGATTTTAAATACATAGACAACTATGTGAAGATATTAAGGGAAAAGAGAGAAATGATTTTTCTAACAAGGACCAACGCAAGAATGATTTCATCAACTACACTCAGGGATACATCAGCAGGCTCCATTATCATATTGACTAAGTATTCATTAACTTATCTTCTAACGACAAAGCAAAATTGTTACCTTATTGAAATTCTTATTATAACAGATGACACCACTCCACCCAGTATTCTGCCCACCCATCAAATAATTATGAGAGAAATTACCTTATTCAAATTGACCTTGACAGTCATTACATTTGAAATACTCCAGCAATTCAATGTGAGAATTAAAGATTATGCCTATGCCTTTTAAGTCATATCAATTTACAAATTATGTTGTTATAAGTAAATTACTGGATGTTAAAAATTTCCTTCAAGATTTGCTTTTATGTTCTTACCAGAACTACATATTCAATGCTAGAAAACTGAGGTAAAAGTTCAGCAGGTTGATTCAGTTCAGATATGCCAGCATACGTAGGGGGAAACTACAGATAGAAAACAAAAAAATTGTAACAAATTATTTGCCAGAAAGAAAAAAATTTTAAACTAAAAATAATTATTTTCTGATCATTTATTTTTAAAATAGTCATATTAAAAATAATTGTTTTACATTGTTCCACCTCCTACTTTGGCGAATGGTGACTAGGATCTTAAAAGCTTGCAAGCTGCCACCTAGATGCAACGATGGATCTCTCCTCATCCAGAGCAAAGAAGAATGAAGAAAACCAAAAATTCATGGATACAATCAGTCCTAGCGACTGGTACACCATCCAATCTACAGCCTATACTACTATGAGACCAGAAGAACTAGATGGTGCCCGGCTACCAATGTCAACCACTTGGAAGGGGATCTATGTAGGAGATCCTAGATAGAGAAGGAGAACAATATGGACAAAACTCAAAATCACTTGGAGAAAAAAAAAAGGCAGGGGGATGGGGGATCAGGTTTGCTGGTCTGATAGAGCCTGGTGGAACCACTGAGACTATGGCGCCTAGCTGCCTGTCAGGTCTGGAACTGAACCCACACCTGTGGCTTCCAGCCAAGCAAAAGACAGCCATATGAGTTGAACATTAACCTGAAGTAGATACACTCCTTGGAGAGAACAATCATGGACAAAGGAGGGCTGCTTATGTAGTGGGAGACAGCTCAGGGGGCAGGAGGACATGGAGGGATGGACACAGGGAAGAAGTAATTATTGGGAGGAAGTGGGAGTGGAGCTGGTTGCACTGTGGTAAATTGTGGTCAATGTCATGAGACAAAGTATATGTGACCTGCTGTATGGAAAGTGAATTTGCTCTGTAAATCTTCACCCTAATCACAATACAAAATAAATAAATAAATACATGTTTTACATTTCTTTTTAAATATGCATTTTTCTGTGTAACTAAATTAGTATCAGTACAATACTTAAAAAAAACAAAACACTACAAAGAAAACTATAAAAAGCTACTTCAAGAAACCATAAGAGACCTACATAAATGGAAAAACATCCCATGCTCATGGATAGGAAGACTGAACAT